ATTAGAGCAGATCCGCGATTGGCGGACCCCGCGAAACTATAGCAAAGTAGCCCGGTTTCTTGGACTCGTACAATACTTGGCTCACTTCATGCCTAATGTAGCTACCTACATGACACCGCTATCGAATATTTGCAGTGACGGAGCACCGTTTCACTGGCGTCCAATGCACGAGAAGTGCTTCCGAATGATTAAGGAACTGGCGTGCAAAGCGCCAATTCTGAAACCGGTAAACTTCGATAGCTCCGATCCGATCCGGGTCGTGTGTGATGCCTCGACCACGGGCGTCGGAGCCTATTACGGGCAAGGCCCAGACTGGGAGATGTGCCGCCCCGCCGGTTTCATGTCAAAGAAGTTTACCAACGCGCAACGAGGCTACGCGACTTATGAGCATGAAACGCTCGCTATACTCGAAGCCCTCCTCAAGTGGGAGGACAAATTATTAGGTAGAAAAATAAATATTGTAACCGATCACGAAACTCTTGAGTTCTTCAAGAGCCAGAAAGATATGTCCTATCGCCAGCGGCGATGGTCCGAATACCTGAGCCGATTCAATTACAGTCTTACCTACATCAAAGGCGAGACTAACATCGTCGCCGACGCACTGTCCCGGTGTCACAAAACCGACCGACCAGGCGAAAACCCCCCACCATACAACTTCGTCGACGCGGATCGCCGATTAGATCCTGCAGGGGACGATTTGCCGGTACTCAGAAATGAGGAGATCGCTCACCTGAACGCCATGAGGCTACCAGAAGCGATTGAGAGCCGCGATATCGAAGCAGAGATGCTCGCGCCCGAATCGGACGTTCCCGAAATTAACCCGCCAGCGGTGATGACAGATGACCCGATCGCATACGAAGCTGCAGCGGCTACGCCGCTCCCGCCGCAAATTATGAACGAGCATGCTGCTTTCGAGCAAGCCGTGCAAGAACACTACGCTAATGATAAATTATTCGCAAAGGTATTGGAACACCCGAACGAACACAAGGCATTCACGCTGAGGAATGGACTTCTTTTCGGGCGCAATCGCGCGGGAAAAGAAGTTCTCTGCGTACCGGGCGGCCGGCTCGGAGCTCGGAGCCTGAGAGAACTCGTCATCGATGCCGCTCACCGAACTTTAGGCCACTTTGGGCTACAGAAAACATTGGACTACGTACGTAGATCCTATTGGTGGCCTCAGATGTCGCGCGATATCGAAAAATTCTGCGCAACGTGCCACATGTGCCAAACGACGAAAGACTTGAACAGGAAGCCTGAAGGCTTATTGCACAGCCTTCCGGTGCCTGGGCGCCCATGGAGTTCTATTGCCATGGACTTTCTCGGACCGTTTCCCCGGTCCCGCGGCTTCGATTACCTATGGGTGATCATCTGCCGCCTCACTAACATGGTGCACCTAATACCGTGCACCACGAAATCCAAAGCCTCGGAATTAGCGTACATGTTTGTACGCGATATTGTCAGACTGCACGGACTGCCGGATACGATAGTATCTGACCGAGACTCTAAATTTAATTCGAAATTCTGGCGTGAGACGCACCGGATTCTCGGAACGAAGCTCCTGATGTCAACCGCGTTTCACCCTCAAACGGATGGCGCTACCGAGCGCGCAAATCGATCAGTAGCGCAGATCATGAGAACACTGATCCGGCCGGATCAAACCGACTGGGTCGACGCGCTCCCGCTCACTGAATTCGCAATGAACGCTGCTCGTTCGGAAACGACAGGATTTTCCGCGTTTGAACTCACATACGGGTATATCCCACGTATGTTAAACGAATTCGGAATGGAGAATACCTCACCGGGAGTAAGAGAATTTGCGCTACACGCAAAGCACTGCCTAGAACAGGCCCATGATGCCATCATCGCCGCGCGCGTGCGCCAAGCACACCAGGCGAATCGTCGAAGGCGAGACCACCAAGCCTATCGGCCCGGCGATCTCGTGTACATCAGTACTGCGAGCCTAAATTTACCTATCAAACGTGCACGTAAGCTAGCGCCTCGATTCATCGGGCCGTTCAGTATCCTCGAGGCCAACAATGACGCCAGCGTCTATTTGATAGACTTGCCGGCGGATCTCAAGGCACGTCGCGTGCACCCGAGATTTCATATTACGAAGCTTCGGCCGCACGTGCCGAATGACGACGCATTGTTCCCCGGGCGCGAGCCCGCTAACTTTTATGACTTCGGGCAAGCCGAAGACTTAGAATATGAAGTAGAGGAAATTGTTACCCATGAGTGGCACGGAAATGAAGCACTATTCCTCGTCCGATGGACGTTGGGCGATAGCTCATGGGAGCCGTGGGAAAATGTTAAGAACCTCGCCGTAATTGACAGGTACTTCGAAATCGAAGGCGTAAGCCGCGTGGAAGACCTGCCAAGATCTCGGCCGATCCGAGGGCTGCCTGCTCCTGAAGGTGCGATAGTCACTCCGTACAGCATGCGTCCTGTTGGACAGGATGGAAAAATATTCTGGACGTTGGGACCGTCCGGTATAAAAGTGAGGTATCATGCACCTCCACCCGCTCAAACATAAGTTGAATTCGTCGCATACTACGCACATACTCGTACTGTACAAATGCCGCTCTCGAAACCCTACGTTGTCGGACCGGCGCGTGGTGCTCCATATCCCACGCCCGCCATCAACATTCCCAACTTGATCAGACAAGTTGAGAATCTTACCCACCGTGTTGAAACATTGGAAGCCGCCCTGGGCTACCAGAACTTTGATGTAAGCCAATATTCCAACTCCGAAATGGGCGCATTCTCACGCATGTGCCCAGAGCTTTGACTCTGGAGTCCAGTGGGCGCCCGACGCCGATGGGAAACCTACCGCTTTGCCGGCACCCATGGGAACGTCTTTCCCCGGAGGAGGGGAGGGACAGGTACCGGCACCGGAGCCGGAAAGGATGGGCCCCGACCGCGAGGTCGTACGCCCGTGGGCACACGTCGGGGATCCCCGCCGTCATCTCACGCATGACGAAATCGCCAGAATCAAGCGGCTCCACGTGGTCCCGCCAACTGATGAGGGGTTCTACGAACAACTTATCCGCGACACGCGCCGCGAGGAGC